TTTAATTCATGTTTTCTTTGTGATAAGTAGAGTGTGAGCTTCTGTTTTAAAAGATTTGGAAAATATATGAAGTATCACTCTAATTTAGATAGGGTTTGGTTAATTGAGTCACTAAAAAGTTCAAAGATGGGTGAGTTTAGTTTTTTGATTTTTAACATGAATAAGATATTCGAGGAAATTAAATTTTATTTAATTCATCTTAGTTTTTTCAGTTCTTCTAGCTTCGGTTAAGATTTCTGATATATGAAAGTGTCAAAGGTTGGATGACAATAGCAGTCCCAGCACTTCTGTCTTTACTGCATCCTTCATTATCACTTACAACATAATTGATTCGCGAGACATTCATGTATCCAACTAATAATTATAATATTAAGTGTATCTATTTATTTAATAATATATAAAAATTATATAAAAATATTATCCTTATATCATTATTCTTTAACTTTTAAATCATTAAAACTTCAAATAACATGGATCTAGAAAAGTTAATTAATTAGAGTAATAACTTGATACTAAAATGGAGTTTTAATAAAAATGAGAATCAAAATTTCAATACTCACAACTTCAATTGTAGTATTAAGAGGCAGCTCAAGTCTTAATCACAAGAATGCAAAATGGAAAAAGAAAAGGTCATTCGGATTTTGGCCACATTAGGGTTGAGCAAATAAAAACGACGCCGTTTCCATGTCCCACAACTTTGTTCTTCTCTGCTTCCCGAAAGAGAAATGAGAAACACAAGAGCTGGCCTCCCGAAACTCTCTCAAATTGTCATCTCTCTTGTTTTTCTTGATTCCAAATCCTTGAATTCTAAGCTTCCAATTCCATTTTATGCATTTATTTTAGTTTTTGATTCGAATTCCCCAATTTCCTATCCAATTGACTGCATCTTGGATCCAAATTCGTAAACCCTTGTGTTCAATTTTTTGTTTTTTCTGATCATTCGGTCTGAAGCAGTTTGATTTTGATGGGTACGAGTGGTTAGGGTTTGGGGTCTATGATTTCCACGAATGGGTGTTCTAGCAAGCAATCGAAAGCGTGCGGATGATTGTTCCGGCTTCACTAGCCAGAAGATAAACCAGAATTCTCCAGATTTTCGTGTTTTAAAGAAACCCAGAATCTCGTTAACGCAGCAGAGCCCGGAGAAGCACATTTGGTTTCCTAACGGTACAGTCTCAAGGCTCGCTCGATACCCAGAAGCCAAGCCTCCGTTGCCCAGAGAAGTTCACGCCCCCTGTAAAAACCTCAAGTTTCGGCTCTCCGTGTCACGCTCCAATCAATATTTGAGGCCGAATTCAAGTGGGTATATTGAAAAAGAAGATTTTTCTGCTGTTAGTATTAATACGATGCGGAGTTTCTTGTGTCGCCAGTATGATAATGCCAAAAAAATGGCATTGGATGCGTTGAGGTACTCGAAGAAGGATAAGGAGGTGATTATTGAGGATAATGAGCAAGGTGGAGAAGAAGCAGTGTCTGATGATTCTAGTGTCGAGGAGGTGGACGTAGAGGACAGACGGGAGAAGATTGTAGAGGAGAGGAATTTGCAGCCATCTTCATCTTCCGTGGTTACAGAGTTCAATAATGGGAGTCTAAGAGTTGATAATGCAGGAAAGATGTTGGATTCACTATCATTGGGTCATGAGGGGGTCCAATTTCTGAGTATTGAAGCTTATAAGAACTTACTGAACAGTGCAGAAAGGCGAAATTTGAAGATAGATGATTTGAATTTTGAGATTAAATTGCATGAGGAGAGATGGGATGCGCTTCGATCTTTGCGGAGTTTGAAGAAACCAGTAGAGGTGAAATTCCTTTTAGTGGCTGTATACTTTGAAGTATCATTAACGTTGTTTGGGTATTTATTAAGACAATTAATTTATTGATTCTAGATTATTATAAACCTGAGTTTAAAGGCAGTTCACTAAATTATCCATTATTAAATTCCAGACCTTTGTGCCACTCACAGAGGAGGAGCTCAGTGAGGTTGAAGGTGCCTTTTCAGCTAATCGGTAGGGTCTGATACTCTAAGTGATGTGTGATTAGATATCTGATCGGTTGGTATTCTTTGCTGAAATGTTGGCTGCGTTTGCTTCTGCAGGAGGAATGTCTTGGTCTCTCATCAGAACTCAAACATTGATATTACTGGACAGGTTTTGCAGTGCCTGAGACCAGGAGCATGGTTGAATGATGAGGTAATTTTTCTTTTCAGTGTTATAATGTTATTTCATGCAGTGTTTCACCAGATTCCTCATGGCAGTCTACCGGAAAGAGTTTGTTAGCCTTCTGGCATTCTCACTATAGATTGTGATTAACTGAATTTTGTTTGAATTGAACTGATTATGTGGTTAACCAGTCATCCGAATTCCCTTTTGTAGGTGATTAATGTGTATCTTGAATTGCTTAAGGAGAGAGAACGAAGAGAGCCGAAGAAGTTTCTGAAATGCCATTTCTTTAACACCTTTTTCTACAAAAAGGTTGATGCACTCTTCCACTCATTCAAATTTGGCTACTTTAATTTAATTTTTGCACCTTTATGGCCTCCTTGTATCATCCCATTTTCTTGTGAAAACTATTTACTGAAAATGCATCTTTTCTTTTTTTAACTAATGGATTTCCATGCTTTAAATGGTCTTCTGTTTGGTTAGGAGTTTTGTATAATGTGTGTAATATATATTTTGTGGCAGTAGTATTCATTCTTTGTTTTTCCTGTTATGAATGTTGACGTTCAGTTAGCAGGTGAAAGTGGCTACAACTATAAATCTGTCAGAAGATGGACTTCAGAAAGGAAGTTGGGGTACTTCCTCATTGATTGTGATAAGGTGTATTGTGAATCCTCCTTTTATTTTTTGGCTCTATGGACATTGTGCTTACTTTAAATCTGGTTTTTCTCTTCACTTAGATATTTGTCCCCATACACAAAGAGGTACACTGGTGCTTGGCGGTTATTAATAAGAAAGATCAGAAGCTCCAGTATCTTGATTCACTTAAAGGAATGGATGCTCAAGTGCTGCACACACTGGTATGCTCTGTTTATTTTCTTTTCCTTGGACTTGAAAGTATTCCATTGCAGTGCCATTAATATTATTTGAAGGACACTTTGCTTTGGTTGCCTATAATGTTCTATTGTATATAATAGCTTCACTACTTGGAGAGAACCAGACAATTTGTTAAGAAGATAATTTAGTCATGCAGTAGTTTTGAACTATAGAATATTAAAAATAGATTAAAGTATGAAGTATAATTGTGCTTGAGGTGATATAGGCTTGATGCTTGAAGTATATTATCTGAGTTTACTAATAGAAGTAGAGAGAACATAATGAGAGAAAAATTATCAAATTTTTTTAGTTACCCATAGAAGTATCCTAGTGACTCTGATGATGTACTTCTTAGTTCTGACCTGATTAATTCATTACTGTGATGTTTTGATGTGACACCTTTTATTGTCTTCAGTTTTGTAAATTAGGGATAGTAAGAGACATTTCTGATCTAGGTCTTAGGGCAGAAAATTTTAAAGGTTAGGAGAACTTTTAAACTGATTTCCTGATTCTAGCATGACCTTGGTGCTTGCAATTTTACTTAAAACTCCAAAGAGCTGGGCACCTTTTTATATATTGTGCTCTTCCAAGCATTGATGCTCTTGAATGGATCCATTCTCTTTCTTGAGATAGACAATATTAAGAAATATAACATACAACAACTTGTTTAGATTATTTTTCAGTAGAATCAACTTCTTTAGAAATTTCTGTCATGTTTATGATTTTTTACTGACCTTTAATATGCTCATATGAACGACCAAAAATAGCAAAAAGGGTCATCAGAGGGAGAGGGAGGGCATGTAGAAGTCATTATGTACATCAAACTTGTCTAATATTGGTCATTGACATGTACCAGGAAAGATATTATGTTGAAGAAGTTAAGGACAAATGTGGAAGAGACATCAATATAAGTTCTTGGGATCATGAATACGTTGAAGACCTTCCTGAACAGATGAATGGGTGTGTATCCATATACTTTTACCCATCTCTTTAGGGAATATTTGCTCACATTTATTAATTGAATTTTTGCACCATGGTTTTTTATGTCAAATGTCAAATCTGGATTTGTTAAGAATTTTATTGATGAAAGAACACAAAATGAGAATATAAGTTTTGTTATCTTTCCTGACACACCAAAAAAAAAAAAAAAAGAGGAAAAATCTTTGCTGAAAGCCTGAAACTCAACGTGGCCATTGTTGATTTTGTTGGGTTGACTTGTTAGAAGTTCTAGAATGTGTCTGAAGGCAACTGGCTGTGTTCATTTTGTTAGCCCCATAATGCATTTGATAAGTTTTGAATCCTTGATTAGCTAGCATTTAGTTTTATGTTGAAATTTAAGTAAATATTTGCTGTAAATCCATCAGTCCATGTAAACATGGTAAATCTAAATCTAAGGTACCTTCCATCACATGCGGTCTTCCTGGTTTTCAATTTATATGAAATATTTTCTAAATTGACATGATCATCTATTTACAGGTTTGATTGTGGCATGTTTATGCTGAAGTATATAGACTTTTATAGCAGAGGTTTTGGGCTTTGTTTTAACCAGGTAAGTGGTAGAGAACGGTTCTCATATGATCTTATGCATGGCTGGTGCTTGTGTTTTTGTTTATAAAGTTGAAACATTTAGATCCTAAGTGATTAGTTCTTTTTTCTTTTTCTTTTTCTTTTTTGAGTGATATGTTGCATTAATAATCAGATGTGTGGATTTAATCAGCATAAAAAAATTGCAATGTATACTTTAGTCTTAATGAGTTTAAAGTAATGTTTATGATAGCCTTTGAACTGCCTGCCTTCTTCTATGTCTTACAGGGAGACATGCCCTACTTTCGGTTGAGGACAGCTAAGGAAATACTGAGATTGAGAGCTGACTGAATGCGTGCAGCTGGTCTTTCAGTTAACATGCTATAGCACCCATTTTGCATTAGATAGGGTAGCATATGCCCGCCTTGTCTTGGATTGATGAAAATGCTTCCATAAGGTCCTGCAGTGACAAAAACAATGCACACGTATCAGTTTCATTGGACCATCAAGGTTTTTGGTCAAATGACTGACATTGTTTAGGAGGAATCATCCAAAACTTGCAAGCGGTAAGCAGGAAATAGGTCCTTTCAAAGAGTTTATCTTGGAAATATAGTTTTTTTTTTTTTGCCCTGTGTTTTTAACGCTTTCTGTACATGAAAGTTCTCTTCTTATGTCTAACCACCCAAACATTGGTTGTGCCTGCTTGATGAAGGCAAGTGGTGAAGTGAAGCCTTTTATATCTCATCCACGGTGTTTGAAACTTTTGCAGTTGTAACAGTTATTTTGAGTAAATATATAAAATGATGTGATTACTGGCAGCATTTATTCTCTGAACAAACTCTGCAGCAGTTGATACTGATTTCTTCATTTATTGTTACTGTTGGGTACACTCATATTAATTATCCATTTTTGTCCAAAATCTGCTGCAAATGTATTGGCTATACCGTATATGTCCACAGTCCACCCTAACAGGTGACTTGACTAAGGCTATAATGCAATCAAGAAGGTCGAGAAAGTCTTAAATGAGCTTACTATGATGATGATGATGATGATGAATGGGACAGATATAATAAATTCGTCAGTTATTTGGAGGTAAGTTGTTGACAGGTAAATTTTCTTGGAAATAATAATATGATTTTTTGTGTTAATTTAATCCATGACACTGCGCAATCCAACCAATAGAAGATTTGTTAATTTTGTTAGGAATTCTCTAAGCTATGCCCTTAAGCCTTATTTAATGTAAAATTTGTAATTAATTTGGTTCAAAATTTTATAATAGATTTAATTAAAATAAAATATAATATTTATACTCAAAATTTATAAAAAATAAGAATTTGATATAAAAATATGTTAAATTAATTATAAATATTATAATTAATAGTATTTAATTTGTACCTTAAAAATATAAATTAAATAAAATTTTTTCTGTAAAATTATTTTAATACACTTAATTAAAATTGTTTATATTAATTTATTTAAAATATTAAAATAATTTTACAAGAAATTTTAATATTTTAATTATCCGAAGTCCGAACATTCTAATTTTTCCTTCCGTAACTTTAAACTGTATTACTGCCATAACATGTGAAAGATTATCCATGACTAGTGCATAAAAAATGAAAAGAAAAAAGGAACAGAAAAACTGCAGCACTACATTTCATGTGAGTGGCTGCCAGATTTTTCTAGAACAACAAAATATTACCGTGACAGTAATATACACAAGTGAAGAAAATTTCATAAACAGGAATTGATGCAGTCACTGAAGCAGAGAACAAACAGATGATTAACGAAGAACTCGTTTGCGACTCAGTATCTCCTGCTCCTTCAGACGATGCTGAAACCTGGCAAGGCGAGCTTGAAGACTCACCAAACCTGCTGCCTTGCGAGACAGCACGAAGCTCAACTGGGTCACGTAGTTGTCGATTAGGCTGCCTGGTTTGTCCACTTCTGCTAAGAGTTTCATTTCCTGCCGTGTCAAGATGCCATAATATGTCAGCAGTTGTGTTAAAACTACTTTGGTTAATGAATCATTATGTAATCGATTTACATATATGAACTCCAAGCAATAAATTACATGACCATGCAAACAGACAACACCAGGAACAGTCGAAATCATAACCCATATATTACCATTTTCATTTTTGGGTAAATTACTTATGCAGTAATACTGACATAAAACCAATTAATGATCCACTTGAATCCAAAGACACCAATTGAGACGGGATATTACCACTTCCAAAAGTTATACTTTTACTAAGGTACAGGTACGATAGAACAATTGAAACAATGGGTGAAAGGTCGAGAGAAGAGTACAAGGCCATGCCAAGCCAAATTCAATTGAGGTGGGATATTACCACCACTTTACACTTTTTCACACGTGTAGAAAAATGTAAAATTGAATCAAACGGGCCTATCATGTAGACAATGAAAACATGGTGACAAAGACTAAACAGCAAGATCAACTACTCGGGATCAGATTCCATATCAAAGATGCGACCTAAAGACAACTGTTGAAAGATGAAAGAGGTTCAATAAAAGGCCAGAGCAAACCTCAAGCTTGACCGATATCATATAGGAAAAAATACTACTTACATCTAGGAGTAGGTGCAAGAGTATTACTTACTTCACGAACAATCTCCATGGTATCCTCAATTTCTTTTCTATGAGCTGCAATTAAGGCCTCTTCTTCCTGCAACAATACAGAAAAGAATAAATACTTCGAAAAAAAAGATGAATGAAAAGGCTTAGAAAAAGCACTTAATAAGATCAAGAAGGAGAAGCAAACAATGGATGAGGTGAACAACCTCAAGTATTTCATTGATGTTCTTGTCAGGAGGAGGCTCAGCCTTATATTGTTTATACCCAACATTATTTGGGTTATAACTGACAGAACTCTGCTGCCTAGAGTTAATATTGGATAAATCAGATCCCTCGCCATCCCTTCTGACCAAATTCTCTGGCTTCTCTAATTTTTCCTCCTTAGATCCTTTTCTATGGGGTGGTGAAACCTTTCGCACTTTCTCTTCTGTATCAACCAAGTTTTTAGAATTGGATGAGTATGCTCTCTGAATTGTTGAGCCACCATGATAATCACTTGTCTCAAACCTCTCCCTATCTTTTGAGATAGAAGTTACCCCACTTTCCTGCCTCCCATTAAATGGATAATTTGCTGGAAAAGTTGACTGTTTGTCAAATTCGACATTAGGATTGTAAGAGATAGCATCTTTCTCTACAACCCTTGGACCCATATCCCCTACTTTCACCTCTTGCTGATGCTCATAAACACCATCTAGATTGGCTGAAGCTGGCTGGGAAGATGCTAATGAAGCATCTTTATTACTTGGTGCCAATGTATTAACAACCTGATCCTTTTTAGCATTCCCGCCTTTGGATAGACTTTTGACCCTGTTCATTTAGATTCATCTCTTAGTTGACAAGCATAATATTGATAAACAATGTATGACTTTTTTGGTGGCTCAACATAGGCAACAAGCACAAATACCTATCAGCATATCTGAGCGTATTAAGTGTATGTTCACATGAACCTGCATTTGGAGAAATGCAAGAGATCATAACTGTCCTTGAGTTGCCAACAAAGGAGTCACGGAGCACTTCTGTGAGTTTGCTCCCCCGAAATGGTATATGGATCTGATCATTGTCTAGAGCACGAATGCATTCCTTAAGAGCCAAAAGGCTCTTATTTATTTCTGCCCCCTCAATCCTGACAACAAAACCAAACCATGAGTACCAGGAAAAGATAGAAATAAATCATGCAAGAGAAAAAGGATAATGTACAGTAAAAGCATGATCATCAAAAGACAATAAATCAGGCTTGCAGTTCCCCACCTGAGGGGCAAGTGGCAAATGCCACTTTGCCTTTGTGGGAGAACACAGAGGGGTGAAGGATCAAACCCCACCAATTACTTGTATTTCCCCATCACCATCCCCCAAAGTTACCAAAGTTCAAAATAATATTACAAGTATATCCGCATAATCTGAAGAAAAAAAAAAAAAATTCCTTCACCACTTCAGCTATCTAAGAATATTAATCACAAAAAAGATTACCTTGTCTGCCGATCATTATCTGTAGTATCTGCACCTCTTTCACTCCCAGCAAGATCAATAAAAGAAATCTTTCCCAC